CTCACCACACACACAGAGGAGCAGCAGCCAGTTCACCCCCTCCCCCACCCCCTGCTCTCCCCTCCTCCCCCTTTATTACCCTTTGTGTGTGTCTCTTTCTCCACTGCTCCAGGGAAGGGAATAAAAGTGGGGTGCAGCCAAGGTAAGTGTGTTTGTGTGTGGGCAAGCAATACCTCCTCCCACCTCTGCTTCTCTAGGGCCTCACCACACACACAGAGGAGCAGCAGCCAGTTCACCCCCTCCCCCACCCCCTGCTCTCCCCTCCTCCCCCTTTATTACCCTTTGTGTGTGTCTCTTTCTCCACTGCTCCAGGGAAGGGAATAAAAGTGGGGTGCAGCCAAGGTAAGTGTGTTTGTGTGTGGGCAAGCAATACCTCCTCCCACCTCTGCTTCTCTAGGGCAGGCAGGTTTGGGGGCTGGGGTTGGGGAAAGTGTTTGTTTTCCATCTTTTAGTTTTGATGATAGATAGTTTGATTGTTTACTGGTTTGGCAAAGTGGCTTATTTTTCATGTTCCAAATGATAGACTTCAGTTTTGTGTATTACTCTAATCCTCCTACTCCTGTTTGGGAAGAAGATATTACAGTGCTCATATCTGTCACTTTTTACTCACTGTTTGAGGAAGTGGAAACCTTTCTCCATGTCCTACCTCAGTTGTATTTATTTTTCAGTGTATGAGGAAATGTCATGGTAGATGATGATCCAGCATTGCTAATGGTACTCTCAAGTGTGTTCCAACATCTCCCTCTTTTTAGAGCTGCTTTAGATTTGGGGATTTGCTGTTTCTGGGAGCAGTATTTGTCTCTTGGTTTTCTTTGGTATTTGTCTTTTGAACAAATAGTTTTCTGTGTAAAGAGATAGGTGAAGTATTAAAAGGGGGTTGGGTCAAGATTTGTTTTTATATGTGACTTCTTTCTAAAGTGCTTGTATTTCCTGTGTCAAAATAGGAAATTCAAAAGACAAAAATATTAATATGGTGGTGAAAATTCTTTGGAATTTTTTATCTGTCTTTGTTTTGTATAGATGCATGTTGCTGCTGTTAATAATATAAATAACTAAACTTAGTTATATAATCATTAAGGCCCTGATCCTGTAAAGCTCTATGCACCTGCTTAACTTTAAGCATCTAAGTAATCTTAATATAGGTCTACTCTAATATGTAAATATTAGCAGGATCAGGGCATATGCAATGTCATCTATATACTTAGAATAAGGAATTAGTTCTTCTTAAATATTTTACATTAATTTTTTGTCATGATTTGCTGATAGGAAGGCCAAATCTCTTTAGCAGAATATGTACTGCACTAAATAGTTGTCTGGGTTAGGTACCACTTTCAGTTTTAACTAACTAGTTTCTTCATTATTGTAAAATTCACATGCCAAAAATATCTACTTAATTTGATAATTAAACTTATATTTTCAGGAAAGCATCCGAAAAGTCTTTTAGAGTCATAGGAATCCAGAAGAAAGTTTGAGTTAATGATAAATTGGTTTTATATTTCAATGTCATCTCTTTTACAAGGGCATTTGTTTTAAAAAATAATGTTGCCTGTGAATGATTTCTGTGTTGTATTTGTTTGGTCATGTAATTCTCTTTTTAAAAAGAAAGCTGTGTGCTATTAATTTAGTAAATAATGCAATCTATTTCTAAACTGTGAGGTAGGCCAGAGATTGTGCTTTTCAATGGGGCATCTCAGCAAAATGGGATTCAGCTTGCTACATGTACATCTTTATCCAGTACTTGAAGAGGAATGCACAAATCCCTTCACTTGTAAATGCTTCAGTATTTCTGATCCCATAATTTGCATCAGCAGAAAATATTTTATGCAAAGCATCAATTTCATGATCAAGCTGGCAATATGAAAACAGCAATTTGATAAGGTTGGAAAGGATTGGAGAAAAACAAATGTAGAAGAATACTTGAAAAATATTGTGAAAAGAGGTTGGAGTAGCAAATCTTAGTATAGTTCTGTAGAATTGTCTTCCTGTTAGTTTTCTGTTTAGCTTGTGAAGGCAAAACAACTTGCTGTATTCAGAATTATTTAAAAAATCCAATTTGTAAAGTAAAATTTCTTTTAGAGATCAGCAAATATGTATAGGAACCCATTCTTGAAAACTGCAGTTGTCTTTTTATTTTACTACAAGCAACACTAGAGACACATAGCTAAAAGCTTATCCAGGAATAATCTTTTTTTCCTGTTTCATACCAACCTTTTATAATGTGATTAATTCTTTTCTTACTCTGAGGTACCATTGATATGTTTAATCTGCACATACAAACCTATGCTATGTTCAAGTTTAGGCCCTCAATGTCAGTCCTATTTCAACTCCATCTGCAATTTATCCTGCAAATCCAGAATACAAAGAGAGAAATTTGTTATTTATTACATAGGGCAAATGCTCAATTTACTGGTTTAATGTTAAAATCTGTAAACTACATTTTTAAACTGGTTGCTCAGTAAAAAATTGAGCCAAATTTCTAACATCATAGTTTTTGGAAGGTTTTGGTTTGTTAACCCAGTATCTTTACAAATTTTTCTCTATAGGGAGGAACTGCGTTTGAGATCATAGATTTCTTAGGCCCTGATTCTACAGTCAGGTCTGTGCTAGCAGACCATCACTGACTTCACTGAGGCTTATCTTGGGGAATATAGGTCCAAGCCTTAGATGATAATCCAGTCAGAGCAGGGACAGTCTATTTCTGTGATGTATAGTGCACTATACTGCAAAGAGGCCTTAATTGTAATAGAGGTCCTTAGGATGCTGCCATAATATACAATATTAAATAATTTGCTAAAAACTGCATCAACTGGAATTATGGGAAACTGTTAGTAATCAACAATTATTACTAAGTAGCATTTTTTTGTTCTGTGTTTAAGTAATTATTCTAGTATCATAAGCAAGTATTAAAGATTTTTGGTTTCTTTTTAGGCATTTAGGAACATTTCTGTATTTTTCCCTGTTGAAAACTAGATCATTTGTATACGCAACATTTATTTATGTCTCTTGTTCATTTTTTTTTTTTTTTTACCAAAAATGTGTGTTTGTAGAGTTAGATTTGAATGATCAGGAAGCTACAATAACTATGTAGGCTACACTAGATTTACAAACCAAAAACATTTAAAGATCTTGTTCAGGTCAGATCTATATGTTGGTATTTTTAAATTCAAAATTATCAGTTTCTTCTGGTGTTAACTTGGTGATTAGTTTGTTTATTTGCTAGTTATTTTACATAAGCATGTGATCTTTATTTTAGTTAGATTTAAATATTTTTGTAAAGGAGTATTGTTCACCTTTAACCAAAACGTGTTCCTTTCTATGGTCCTGACCCTTGTCTTTTTATTGGGAAGCTAGTATTCTGATCTATCAGAAAATTGAAAATTGATCTATCTAGGAAAATTGAACCTTTGTGGTATCATTAACAACTTTACTAACAAAAAACTGTCTTGTTTTTCACTGAGGCTTGTAGTTACTATTCTGTCAGTAAGACTTTTTCACAATTTTCTTCACAGTGATTTTATTTAAGGGAGATCAGCATTCAGGAACTAGTTGATTGAACACAGCCAGTGATGACAATGTTAGCTTGTGGATCAGCAATGAATTCTTGAGACACACCTCACTCCTTCAGACTACTCTTTGGTGGTAGAACCTTTTGACCACAAGGAGTTCCATTCTTGACAGTAGGGCTTCTTGCAGTGTAAAAGCCCACATGTGCAGAGCAGTTCTCAGAGTAAGGGCTTTAATTTCAAAAATGCATATATCATTTCCAAAGTGACTTAAACACTTAAGTCAACAATCTCATTGATTTTTCAATGAGACTTAGGAGATAAGAACTTTGGTCGCTTGAAAATTGAGACTTGGGCCCACAATCATTGAGGTGCTTTTGAAAATGTATTCCATGGTTTGGGTTCCATTGAAATCAGTTTTGGCACTCCTTTCAATGGGAGTAAAACATGGTGCAGAGTAGAGAGCCATCTTTACTTTTCAATTGTTAGTGCCTGTAAATATTTTTAAACTATAATTTTACTCATACAGTTTCCAGTAAGGTTCATTTAATCTGTATAACAGCGATCACCAATCAGTGGATGGGGATCTACTGGTAGATCTTGGAGCCTCTGACTGGTTAGGCCAAGAAGCTGTCAAGGGCTAGCACGTCCACTACCCCTCCCCCACTGCTGTGAAAGTCCTGCCCTTTGCCTTGGAGTGTTCCCCTCTCCCGCTCCATATTCTATCGCCACAGAACAGGGGAGGAGGGCACAACAGGGTTTGGGATGGAGGGAATTGCTGGCTGCTTTTAGGAGTCGTACAAGGCCAGGGTAGGGGTGAGCCTGCCTTAGCCCCACTGTACCACCTCACAGGAGCCACCTGCGGTAAGCAGTGTCCAGCTGGATTCTGCACCCTGAATCCCTGTCCCAGTCATGAACCCTCTCCTGCACCCCAAGCCCCTGCCTTAACCCTGAGCCCCCCCAAGACCCAGACTCCCTTACAGAGCCTTACCCTGAACCACCTATGGCACACCAACCAGTGCCCCAGGCTCAGCTCAGAGCCCTTCTCACACTCCAAATCCCATAGCCCAAAACCAAAGACTGTGCCCCAAACCCTCTCTCCCTTCTGATGACAGGGAGGAAGGATGGAGTGAGCAGGGACGGGGCCTTTGAGAAGTGGCACGAAGGAAGTGGGGCAAAGGTATTTGGGTTTGAGGTAGATCCTGGATTGCACTTAAATTCAAAAAGTGATCTCATACTTTAAAAGGTTGGAGACCACTGCCATATAAGAACCAAAATACACATTAGGTATTAAAAGGAACATGGAATGAAATTTTGGAAAAAAGTGACTCAGATCTACTTTCCTGTAATACATAAGAGATGTTAGTGTTTAAGTAAAGTTAATGGAAATAAATTTTGTTAATATTTTAACTAATTTTAGCAATTTTGACCCAAAATGATAGATTGTTAATTACATGTTTATAATATCTTTAGATTAACCACCTAAAAACCAGAGGGAGTTTCAGGCCTTAAATTCATAAATTCATTGGCGGCTTTGCTAAGACTGCCTAAAGAGAGTGAAGCATAAGGTAAATAATAGAAGTGTGTGCGTGCGTGTACTTGTGTGTGTATATAAGCACTTCTTAAATTATTCTTAATCTGTTATTATCCGATTATGCTGGCTAAAGTTTAAAAAAATAGGGGAACTGTATGGTTCAAGGATTTGGTAATGGAACATAGAGTCTTTCATCTCTAGATTTCTGTCTTGAATCCAGAAACAGGATCCAAAATCTCTTACATATGATGGCTAGTCATTGACCTTTTCTGAAATGTGTTGACCATCTCATTTCAGCTCCTCGA